GTTAGGGGGGTAGGAACCGTTAATTTTACGAATGGGGCACCAGAGCGCCCCCGGGTCATCCCATGACATTGGATTCCAATGTCATGGGAACCCCACCCATATTTGAAACCATATGTCTATATACAAACCGAAAAATGCCACCAAAGTGTGATAAACCATTAAAAGCCAGAGGTTTCGTCAATCCTCCTTGCAACCATCTGTAGCAGGTCTAGCTTCGAAACCGCCACCATCCCTTGGCTCAAGTTTGTAAGGCATGTAGGTGCCAAGAATTCTATCCCACGTCACGAAGAAAGGTTGCGAGAAGTTGTATTTGCTGCCATAAAACTGGTGATGAATGTCATGGTAAGCCGAGTTGTTCTTGAAGAAGATGTGGAAGAGGTTCCCGGGCAACCACAGTCCACAGTGATCATCCACTGTCTTGACGGTGGCAAAGGAGAAGAAGAAGATTGAGACCCTAGGAGACATGCCGGAGGCGAGGAAAGCCATGGCCCCACCAACTGTGTCAAGAATGAGACCCTCTAGAGGGTGGTTGTACAGGGCTCCAAAAGCATAAGGGACAACAAGCCGGTGATGCTGAGAATGGATTTGGCGGTACAGAAACTTGTTTTGATGCATGTATCTGTGCATGAAATATTGCCATGTGTCTAGCACTGCCATAGCAATGACGAATTGCCTTATGAGAATGAGAACAGATGACTGATGCTGATCCACAGCAGCCTCACTATCATTTGTGGTGACCTGCTCATAAACACATGTTTAGAAAATGATAACCAAAAATCATTTGTGGTGACCTGCACAAACAGACAAACAGGTGACACAAACTGAGACGGTGCAAGACTAGTAAATGTGCAGCATAATAGTCCCAACTAAGAACAGATAGCTTCATTAGAAACAAATTCATTGATAGACATTTTAGGTTCCATTAAACACAGTTTCTTCATCTAACAGTACTCTTTTCACTACACAGGTTGAATTGGTTTAAATGAATTAAAAGGTTACATTTAGGCTTAAATTGATACTTCTACTTTTTCTTTTCTTTTTTTATTATAGAATATTCAGCACATTCGGTCAATTATACCACAAGATTAACCAAATTAGCCAATTCAGGCATTTTATCCCTAAGCAGATGGGCTCTACGTGCACTTTAGACTTTTGGATGGTTAAAGCTGGTTTTCATTTTTTCTC